TCATTTGAAGAAAAGTCCACCCTGACATGATTAGCAACGGTCTCTATAAATGGGACTGTGGCTGGATCCACACTGCTATATATTGCAGTTTCAGAATGCAATGTAACTTATTGAACTGGATTATGTGGCAGTGTAGACACATCTAATGCAGTTCAATGCAGTTAATCTGTACTCTGAAACTCCATTATATGGCAGTGTAGATCCAGCCAACAAGTTGTCTAGATGAGAAGTAGTAGGCAATTTATGGCTCCAGATGGAATCCCATTAGCCACATGTAATGAAGTAAAGCGAAGGGAAATGTAATTAACAATATTTGGAGGGAAATATGGTACCCACTCCCACACCAGACCTTGGGCCATGCACTTTTATTTTTCTGTATTTATGCATAGTATGGTTGGTCACAAACAACACAGCCCTTCAATACTGTGACATTAACATGAAATCACCATGTTCCTAAAAGGCAAAATAGCTGAATCAGAAAATGGAGAGGACTCATAAACACCAAAAACACAGTGTGAACTTTAATCCAATTAGATGTAATTAACTGAAAATTTGTTCATTATCACAAAGCCCTAAAACAGTTATAATAATATAATCATAAGACTTTATTTATATTTCACCTCTCTTCTCAAGACTTATAGATGTCACAAATGATCTCAAAATTGAGTATGTAATCAAAGTCCCTGTTTTCTTTAAATATTTGAGAGAACCATACAATAATAAATCCTTGTCTGATAAAAGATAATTATCAAGTTCTATAGGAACAGGCTCTTCTCTGTAGAAAATATCTGCACTCATGCACTGCAACCATTTGTCAAAGGGGAGACACCAAAGGATTTACTAAACCAGTCTTTAGGTCTGTCTTTGGAGAAAGGAGTTTTAATTGGTCTACAGGGAGGCTGCTCTCTCAGACTCCAAAGAAGAGGATTCATTTCCTAAGAAGACTAAGAAAAGCTGAAGAAAGAATAGGAGAGAGTGCAGGAGTGAAAAAGAGGACAAATATTCCATGGGGTGTTCTGTAAAACCCAAGATCAAATGAAAACTTTAGCCATATCACTACGAACTGCACCCAATTATTCATTGTGCTTATTAAATGAGCTGAGCTACTAGCAAAGTTCAGGAATAGTCAGCATTCTTGGCATTTCATCCCAGTAGAATTTGATAGAAAAATATACCCTGATCATAAAAATCTAACCAGGTAAGTCAGGAACCCTCTTTCATTTTTATTAATTCATATTGAAATACTTTTTGCCCACATAATCTGCAACATTAAAATAAAGACTGTATGTATGTATGGATAAATAGTTAGAAGATGCAATTAACAGTGAGGAACTTTATAGTACAATTATAGTACAGATGGATTAAATGGCCAAATTGCATGTCCATGTGCAAGAAAGTGGAGCTTGTCTGGTCTTTGATCATATATTGCATGCATTAAGGAAAGAATAGGTCAACTGTCCTTTTAAAATTCCTTCTGTCTTTCTAGTGCAAATTAGGTGAAAGAAATATATGCTCTCAGTAAAACCTTGTCTTAAGCACATTTTCTTAGAAGTAAATCTTTTTACTGCTCTATTTAATGTCATACAAAAAGATTTCCACTTGGGTAATGGAACTTTATCTTCCTCTCTTTCCTTTACAGAACTCATTCAAATAATCTCTGTGTGGGAACCCAAGGCCCCATCTCAACTGTCATATAATGTAGTTTGAAACTGCAATTTACAGTCAGTGTAGACTCTTATAATGCAGCTTAACTGCACTGAACTGCATTACATGAGTCTATGCTGACCATATAATGACATAATATATCAAGTGTAGATGGTACCCAACTCTCCAAGGCAGAAGCAGAACAGACATGTGGGGCTAAGCATGTTAACCTTGGGGCTCACTGGTACTTACTTTCAAGTAACTGTACCAGGGATTCTAAAAAATTGTGCAAAAGCACAATTAGATGGGTGCATTCAAATGCAACAAACACAGAAAAAATCAGATACTTATAAACACAACATTATTATTCATTTAATACTAACTGTATGTATGGTGGCACATAGTATATTTCTCTCTCTCTCTCTCTCTCTCTATATATATATATATATTCATGTATCACACATATATAATTCTAGTTGTCTGCCTCATTATGAACTCCTTTGCTATAATGGGTGAAAGATGTATTTAACACTTGAAAGCTGAGAGAATTAAGAAAATTATGGACCTCATCCCAATGATGTTTTTCAGTGTCCTAGGATGCTTTCAGGATGCTGGGAGGATGGAGCCCATCACATAACGCAGGGCTACTTCTGGTGGGGCTCCATCCTCCCAGTGTCCTGAAAGCATCCTAGGATGCTGCTCAGAGAACACGGGAGGCTTCCCGTGTTCTCATTGACAAAATAGGGCTAGTGCAGAGGTTCTGGCGGCAACACTTTCCCACATGGGATGTGGGAAGCACCGATGTGGGTGATGTGGGGCACTACTGTTTTCCCTGTTGGCTTCTGGATTCGCCATGCTGCCTGGCAAATCCCCCCGCTATTGCCCACTTTTCGGACAGCAGTGTGATGAGGTCCTTAGTTAGGCATCCTATGATATTAGAGCCAAGATAATAATTCTCCCAAATACCATAGTTGCCTAGGACCAAGATGGGGAAATATCATAACTTTCTCCTTCATAATAATTCATACTCTGCATTCATGCCTAGCAATTCATGCCTAGCAATCTACCAGGCTTAACAAGCCCACAAGAAAAGGATAAAGTATGCATGAGCCTGGCATTTGTCCATCCATTTTGCTATACCTCATCTCTATCAATCCCATATTTTTATAATGAAGACTAACTGTGGTAAAATGTCATTTCCCACCCAAAACATCATTTCGTAGCATTGTTTTTTTCAGGAAATCATTATTTTAAATCTACCATGAAGGAACTGATTTGTTGTCTTGGACTGATATATGCTTAACAAGAAAACAAATACAATTATTTTTGAACCTGTCAACTTGCATATACTTAAATTATTCCTACAAATTGTGTTTATTTGAATTGGTACTTTATGTCCCTATATTATTGACCTATTTCTAACATATTTTAAATTGGAGTAAAAGTTCATAACAGAAGTCAGAAAGTTTGTCGGGGGAGAGGAAGAAAGCAATTTACTGCCCCTGACTTAATGGCTTGTTACAATGCAGAAGGATAAGCAATCATTTTGTAAGGTCTTGGAGCCCAAATCTTCTGAGACATGAGAAATTACATTTCATGAATTAGTATTTGGGGCAGGCATAGAGAAGCACTATTCCTATTGTTGCCTGTGGCAGTAGCTTCATTAGAATAAAGCTGAAGTTTTACCTCATGGTGATTTAAGGAAATGTTCATAGCTAAAGGCTAAAAAATTATCTGAATCCAAAACATCAATATAATAAACATGTATTTTGAAGTCAGAAAGCTGCCTCAGGGCCTGTCTATACTAGCCCAAAACCACAGACTCTCCTAGAATGAAAGGCTGCCTGTCCATGGTGCAAAGTTACTTCTGATGAGTATCCCAGTAGTTTTTTAAAACTGACTTTGCCACACTTCGGCAACTTTTGGGGATAATCATTGGCTGGGAATTGCAGAATATCCCATGGCTTTGAGGCAGCCTGGATAGCAAGACTGCATCCAAACCTGGAACACCAGGACTGTTGCCTTTTCCCTACTCTCTTTAGTGTAGGGAGAGGAGATGGATTATGCCCACGTTGCTGCCTCTCCTATCTGGCCATTGAGCTCCATGTGAGCATCACAAGGACTTCTACTGATATCATAAAAGGGTGTCCAAACAACCAGTATTAAGGAGTCCCCTTAATCCCCTCCTCTTTCTGTTTGTGTGGGTACCTCTGTCAATGTCAGAATGAGATGCCTGTATGACTAGGAAGAATTAGGGGGATCCATCCTGCTTCATGCTGATAGTGTGCGTACCATGTTTTGATGTCAGCAGAGACATCTGCGACAGCCAGGAGCTTGCACAGAACTCTGTGGACAGCTAGAAGTGGTAAAGGCAACACAGAGAAGGTAAGATACATGATGCACCAGAGGCATGTGCTTCCTGGCCATGTTAATAATGCTCTGGTTTAGAAGGAAAGTATAATCAAGGCAGTATTTATATCACACAACAATTAAGTTGAAAAGAGATTCTGTTTTCAGGGAAGGACCAAGGAGTAGAGCCTTGAGTTGTTCTTTTTAATTAATGTTAGATGAACCCCCTAAAAATTGGGCCCTGTGTACAGCTACATAAAAATCAGCTGAGTTGGGGAAATGGCAGTCAACACTCATGATTCCTGTAGCCAATGAACATGCTTCAGGTGTTAGTCTTTAAAGGAGATGCGTCATAGCCTTCTCCTGCTATTAAAAATGGTCTTACTTTTGAGTCTGCTCATACAACAAGAAAAACACCAACAATTTTTTTCCTGGCTGTCCCATAGTCTCTCCCATAGTCAGTTGACTCTTGACTGGTGAAAATGCCATTAACTAATTTGCAAGGGCTGGGGAGAAAATATATATCATCTCACAACACAATCAGTCCATTGTCGTGCACTTGTGGGACAAAATAAAGCCATTTATTTAATATTTTAAATGCATTTTAATAGCTGCTTTCCAATAGAAATAAAGCCGTTTGGGTATAGTATGCTATGTGTTTCTATTATTATTTATTTTTAAATCTTGAATCTGTGTTGTCACATCCGTAAGACTGAAATCTGTCATCATGAAAGAGATTTTGGTACTAATCTGAATTTTCACCATTAGTTTTCCAGCTCACATACGACCAAACATTAATACCTTTAAGAAATTCTGATTAAAATGTATTTGTTAAGTTTTCTGGCCTTGGCACCATCAAGTCACATTTTTCTACAGAATGACATAAATCAGCTTAATCCGGGTCACTACAAAAGCAGAGGAGGAAGAATGTACAAGTAATTCAGGCCTGTCACTGAGTGATTGGTGTTCTAACTTCACACTTTTACCAAAAATAGAACATGCCTTACCGTAGCTGTCATAAGCATCTTCACTTGCTCCGTGACCATAGTCATAATATTCAGGCAGACTGCAATAGATTCAGACAGCAAGAAAAGTTATTGCAAAAAGAAAGCTTCAAACTCCTAAATCAAAACAACACATGGAAATCAAAGTTTGTTATTTTCCTCCAGTATCCCCAAAAGATGCAGTAGCAAGTCATTTAACTAAATCTTTAAAAGGAAAACCTGGAATGAAAAATAAAATGCAGTGTAATCTAAATTGCATTGCTCCTCTTTTCCCTTTTAATAAAAACAACTTTTGCTAGCAGTGGACTGTCAGACCATGGTAGGAATATTCCCACTATAGATTGTTCTTTAAACACCCAATGAGTTATTTTGCTCCCTGCTAACTTAATCTAGAGATATACATTTTCATATATTTGATTTTAAGAGTCATTTTGTCATTTTATTTATTTTGGAATATTATGTGAAACAAAACTGCACAATTTTGTGAAAGAGGACAGCATGATCTATATAGAAAATAACATTTCTGTGCAAAGAAAATCCAAGTTTTTTTTTTTTTTGCATAGAAGGTGACATTCCTTATTAAATAAAATATTGTTTTCTGGGTCAAAAGACCACATGTAGCTTTTTATGCACAGTGAATCCTAAACTGTGAAGAAAATTCTGAATCATATAGTATTCTTCTGATAATTTTCTACAGCACATTTTTCCCAATTCCTAATTTGAATGAATTATTCCAATTTGGACTTGAACCACTTTGATCCTATTAGTTACAATTTTAAGACTCTTGATTGCTTGGAATGAGTTTGTGCCTTGACCTGCAGTGTTTCTGCCATGCTTCCTTTCAAGATATGAGTCATAACTGGGGACAGACACTTTAGACCTTAAAACTGAATGAGAGTCATTGTCTCTTTCTCCCTGTGATGTAATAATATCTGAACAGTTTGCCCAAGTAAACATAGACTAGATCTGTCTAAAGATATAAGAATGTGCAGCACAAGTTGCAGATGTGTCTGCAAACTAAATGAAAACCTCTCATAAACTAGACCTGGAAATGCAGCCACCATCAACAAAGGAAACAAAGAGGGAACAAAATAGCAGCTGAATACAGTTTTCACAGTTGGATGCTTTGTTGTTTTCTGCAAAACAAAGTCTGTAAAAATAATTCTTTTTGTCACTCGTTCAGCTAACCACTATTAATTTCAATGGCCTGCCTCTTACAATAAAATAAAATAGAAATCCACATATGTAAACACTGGCAAGACAAACAACTTTTAATATTTATCTCATTAAATTTAATTTCATTTGACCGAAGTTGTAAAACAAATGCCCCACGAATCTGAAAGTTCAACTTTTCCTTCTTGGGAACTATCATTTGCTGTGTTAAGGCAATCACAAGTAGATAGCACAATCACAAGCACCTTGTGTTCTGGGTCTTGGACATCTATCTGCTTTATTTTGGAAAATGTATGCAATGTATACACACATGTTTATGTATGTTATCCCCTCCCATGCTTTCTGTTTTGATCTGAATAAGAGAAGATCACAAGACATAACAATATACTCAAACTGCTCTATACTGGCCATTGGAGCAAATCAATTTCTTTTCTAACTGGAAATCAAAATCTCAGATTGTCTTTATGCACAATGATCTATTGATTTTAGTTAAAATGACATGGACTCAGTAGATGCTATTTTACCCTCTCCTAGGGTACATTTACACTAGAATTAATGGAGTTGGCACAATTTAACCACCATAGCTCAATGCTATGGAATCCCAGGAACTGTAGTTTTACAAGGTCTTTAGCCTTTTTGGCCAAAGAGTGCAGGAACCTCGCTACACTACAAATCCCAGGATTCCATAGCAGTGTGACATAGTAGTGAAAGTAGCTTCAAACCTTATTAATTTTTACAGTGTAGATGTACCCCTAGATTGGGTAGGGCAGAGCACTGAAGGTCCACCTGTTCATGCATGGCTTCCTGAGAAGATTTTGCTAGCCTTGTTTCTTTTTCAAGTAGATAAAGTGGTTAAATATTCTTCATCAATTGGAGGAGGAAGAGGAATGAGGGAGGAATACATTACCAAAGAAAATGATGAAAAAGGAATACTGATCAGCATACAGTCTGCACAATGTTAATAATGGAAATTTAGAGATATAATTTGAATAGATTACCTAATAAGATAGACCATAATCAAGGGGCCTGTGTACCTACTTAGCCTGTTTCCCAGATATTAAATGCAGATGGGCAACTTCAAGATACCTTCTCTTTAATGTTATTGCTATTTATGTTTAAACCCAGCTTGGATGAATCAACCCTCTAAACATAAGGCTCCCTGAAACAGAGGGCAGTCCTCTGTGACAGTGCATCAAAGAGAAATTAATTTTCGATAAAGTAGGTCACCCAACTCCAAGGGGTAAAAGGCACCATCATCATTGCCCATATGTATTGAGGATAAATGTGAGTAACATTTTCCGACACTGCCTAATGGAGAAATTAACAATTATGGCTGCTTTTCATAAATAAATAAATATGTTATCTAGCAGCTATGATAATGACTGATACAACTTTCAGGGTGGCCTAGTTTTGGAATTTTGTACTGTGTATGGACATCCCAGGTGTTCAGAGTCATTAAAAATTCCTTTCCCATGAATTTTAGCATTTTTAGTAACATATATCAGGATCCCTGGTTGGTTTCATTCTACAAGCTATGTTTTGCAGTGCCAGATTTGCTGCTTGGAATGCTGTTTTATGTTAATAATACTACCAACCTGCAACCACAAACAGGCCATGAATGAAACTCTTACCCCTTGGAGGGGGGTGGGCATAGAGTTTTAACTGATTACCACTAGATGCTTCTCCCAGTACACAAACAGCCCCTAGTCTGTCATTTGCAAGTTGGTGACCCCTCAAAATAAGGAGATATTCTCCATTTGCTGAGTTCCTTTTTAGATTTCTTTCTGGCTGAAAATGGTTAGTAAAACATGATAACTTGATAACTCATCAAACCATTTGTAACTTTTTGTGTAATTGTAACATGCTTTCATTGTGCAATTTACTGCTTTGAGACAACCTGCATTTCTGAAAGCTTCTTTTTAGGGTATTGTTGAGGTCAATCATACTGGTTACTATTCATCGGTACTGAATCCATTGCTAGTTCTAACAGGCAGCAAGGGTGGCCAGTGTGACAAAAATATTAGCTATCTGGGCATGGGATGTCAAGAACATGGACTATCAGCTTGTGTCAGTGCATCATTCAAGTGTGTTGATGTATTTGATCTAAGCACAAGTAGATTAGAGTGCCCAACAGCAGATACCAAAATCTTCAGAGCATTCTAGTAACTCACAAACCATCTTCCAAAATCATCCAAATCATATTCCACCTCACCTCTGAGGATGCTTGCCATAGATGCAGGCGAAACGTCAGGAGAAATGCCTCTAGAACATGGCCATATAGCCCGAAAAAACCCACAAGAACCTAGTGATTCCAGCCATGAAAGCCTTCGACATCTTCCAAAATCATTCCAGAATGTGGTTTATTAACTCATGCTACTGTAAGCTTGCCTGAATGCACATGGTCCTGCTATTGTCCTCTAATATTTTATTAACCTATGATAACCGCCTTGAGTTGCCATTTCGGCTGAGAAAGGCGGTATAGAAGTAAAGCAAATAAATAAATAAATAAATAAATAAATAAATAAATAAATAACTGAATTGTATTTCAATCATGTGATGCAGCACAAATGGCTTTCCTCAACTATTTTAAAGCAGTATGAAAAGACAAATCTCAGCTAATTCAGACTGTGTATCAAGGGAACAGATTTCAGGAAACTTTACAAATAACTGCTACACTTCTGCAAAATCTCCATTAAATGAGATTAACTTAGCTCGAGCAGAATATGCAAATATAAGCAAGAAAAGCTGAATAAATAATTATAGAATATAAACAAAACCTGGTTATATCATTTAAACTTAGTCTGCCCTGTCGTTTATTTATTTGTTGACTTCATTTATACCCCACCTCCCCCCCCCACCCCAGAGGTCTTTTGGTGAGTAGATAGCTCTTTCTTCCAAGAAAACCAGGTTTCCTTGGCAGTATTAATGGGAAGGAAGGCATTATTCTCAATTAACATCCATTACTCTGAAAGCAAAGTAAAGTGCAATTTTCTTGAAAATATGCACATAGTGGAAAGCACATTTTGCCAGACACATTAGATCAACACATTTCAACCTGACATATTTTCCCATACTTGAATTCTTATTCTGTTTTCTTTTTTTGGTCAGTAGAATCCTGTACTGTAAAATGTGAGTGACTACAAACATCAACTATGACATCCCATCACTGGGAGAAAAAAGCAGAGGCAGGAACCCTGTGGGTGATCTGGGCTAAATCAGCACATGCTGCCAATTTTAGTCCTTTGTGATAAGGTCGTTGCTCTGCAGAACCAGTTTCATGTCCTTGCCGAGCCATAGAAGTCCACTGGGTGATGTTGGACACATCTGATGAGCATTCCAGAAGGTCAGTCCTGACGATGAGTTAATGAAACCATGCCAAACAAGGAATCCATGAAGAGGAGCAATGAAACATCTCCCATTCTTGAAGTAAGGTCCAGGATTAATGGAAAAGATAGTATAGTGATGCTTCTCCATTGTTCAAAAGCCACAAGAAGGGAAATAATAATAATAAAACTTTATTTATATACCGCTCCATCTCCCCGAGGGGACTCAGAGCGGTTCCCAAGTAATATCACAAAACATACAGAGTAAAAACAAACAGAGTGTTAACCATAAGATTAACAAACTATAAACATAAAAATTGTCGCCATAACACACATATATTAAAAGTAAACCTGCCTGTTCAAGGCAATTAAAAATTTAAAAGGCTGGGCCAAGATTTGTGAAAACCCAAAAATTCTAGGGGCCCGGGAATTAAGTGCAATGCTATGGCAGGCAACAATAATATTAGGTCTGTGGCTGTCCATTCCAGGGCCGATTAGAGGAAAGAATCTGGGTAACTGGTAAGAAGAATTAAGGCCATATTAGACAATGTGTGGGGCTGAGTTAG